TCTCTTCTGGTCATCTCTGCAGAAGACTCGACACTTGCGATCCGGTTCAAGTTGCTTCATGCCGGTGAGGGTGGCGTTGCACACAAACAACAATCCTTTGCCTACTCTAGCCTCCCGGAAGTCCGGGAATGTGTAGTCTTCGGGGAGGTTAGCCATTAGCTGGTTGAGCCTCTGCTCGACATTTAGATACAAGGTATCAGAATCTTATTCGAATAAAAAATTGACGCCATTATGTGTTTATCAGCATCATAGGCTGTGCTTTATTTTCTGTTTAGAGTGCTACTGATAAAATAATGAAGGGGAAAAAACTTACTATATGCGATGCCTTCGTCCGACTTTACAAATTTCGCTGCTTTTAACCTAATTTCACCCTTTCGGCTTTGTTTTATATGGCATCTCGTATTGGTGAGCATTTTTTCAATAAGCGTTTTGATTCTGGAGTACTAATAATGTTTTAAATATTCTAATCAATTGTGAAGTCCTTTAAACAGAGATCAACACAACATTGTGTGAGTTGGACTGAACTCGCGTCTCTTAAAACGAATTCAATTTAGTATGTTCGAAGCTTGTTAAAACCACTAAAATTTCGTTAAAACGTGCATAAAACCCGTTCTTCTTATTAAACGGGTATTTATTATAAAGCCCCCATCCGAAAGCACTAAACCGAGAATGAAATTTCTGCATATGATTTATTTCACGAAAAAGTTGTGGCAGTTGCACTCTTTTATTTGTGACGGCGTCTGTTATAAAACTTACTCTCCCAATTATTTCACTTTGTAAAATAATTTATTTGCCTTAAAGAAGTATTTGAAGACTTTTAATGGGATTCAGAACTACGTATATTCGGTTGCGAGCAAGACACGGTACTGACTAGGTTATGTCCGCCGGAGAAGGTGATCCGAACGGGACTCGATAACGCTATAGAATTCTACTCTTAAAGGCGAATCTTAAGTTTCCTTCAAGTTTTTGTTGCCGGGCTTAGCAATGGAGAAAGGCAAAGCACAGTGGCTAATAAAAAGCATGTTTAAGTTTGCAAATGCCGGGTGTATCGCGAAGACTATCGATCTCTCCCCACAAGAAAGCCAGGAATTTCCGCCCAGTTATGCCCTAGGCAGAGTTAGCGCGCTCCGCCAAAAGCCAGAGAGCGGGAGATGCTCACAGCCACGGAAAAAATGTTCTTCTCGGGCGGCATCATCGAGATCAAGAGCGTCGGAATCATCGGACTGTTTCCGGTGCGGCTCAGTTCACGACGTGTCCATCTCCGTATTTCGCAAGGATCGCTGACGTTCTTATAAGTGTTACGGAGGCTTCCCGAAGAGTTTCAGGGGTGGGGCAAGAGACAGTGGGAACATTGCAGCGGAGAATAGCGACCGGGACGAAGTTGTGCTGTAAAATGTCTTTTCTCGTGAAGGGCGTTCAGGTCGTAACAAGATTTCCTTGAAAGTAGCCCAGAAAAATTTGCGCATGCAGATACAGACAGGCGCGTCTGTCTTGATTGTTCCGGAAGCATTGTATCTACAAGAGGTACTGCACCACTCTACCTTTAGCGCCAAGCCGTCTAAAGCTAAAAACCTATGGCGGAACGCCACTGACATTGGCCGGGAAGCTGTGTGTTTCCGCCGAACATACCGGTCACCACAAGCAGCTCCCGCTGTTTGTCGTGAAGACACGCGACAATGGCAATATTGCTTTGCTAGGACGTGACTGGCTGGCGGCTCTGAGGTTGGACTGGTCTAGTGTGCATTTAGTTTGCCTAGCCAAATTGTCGGCGCAGCTTGAAAGGTAGGTTAAGGTTTTTGAGCCTACGATAGGCAAAATCAAGAGCAGCCCAATCAAACTTGCTTCGAAAGAGAGTGGCACGCCTGTATTTTGCAAAGCGAGACAGGTGCCGTTCGTGCTGACAGAAGCCGTGTCACTAGAGCTGCAGTCTCTCGTAAGAACAGGAGGTCTAGTACTTGTATAGCAAAGTTACTGGGCTACGGCCCTTGTAGTTGTGCCAAAACCGAACAACTATGTCTGGGCTGTGGTGACTTCAAAGTGACACTGAATTCGTGCCTACGAACGGTTAATTGCCCCCATCCAGTTATGAAAGACTTGTTCGTAATGATCGGCGGATGCAAACATTTTTGCGGTTCTCGACCTCTCCACTGCCTATCAGCATTTGGCATTGCATCTAAATTCACAGCCACTAGTCCTTGTCAACACGCGCCTTGGATTCTTCAAGAACACTCGCTTACCCTACGGCTTCCGGAGTGCACCTTCCATCTTTCAGGCAGTGATGAATGACGTGTTGAAAGGGCTGGATTGCGTATTCTGCTATTTATATTACACTCTGATAACATGATCCACTTTTGACAAGTGTTTACATAAAGTGGAAAGTGTTCGTCACTGTTCCAGGAGCGAGACATACGATGGAAGAAAATACAAGAGAAGTTCTTTCAAACGCCCGTCTCCTACCTTGGGCACATTCTTGATGAGAAGGGCGTAAGACTGTTCGATGGAAAGGTGGAAGATAAAAAAAAAGGCGCCCACTCCAAAGTACGAAGCACAGTTGCGTGCCTACCTTGGCTTCACTAGCTTTCATAGAAAGTTTGTTCCTATTATGGCTGCCATGCTTAAGCCTCTGTACAATGTGCTGAATCTCGAAAAAGGATTTCAGTGGTCCCATGCGGAACGGCAAGCTTCCAGCAAAGTAAAGCGTGGCTCACGCAAGAGAAAGTTTTGACTTACTGCGACCCAACGAAATACATCTGATTTGTGTGTGACGTGTCGGCTTACTGCGTGGGCGCAATTCTGTTTCATTAGACTGGAAGAAATGAAAACTCAATTTCTTATTCGTCGAGGGCATTGAGAGAAGCTGAGCAAGGTTATGCTTACATAAAAAAAACAGGCCCATGCCGTGGTGTTTGGCCTGAAAAGGTTACACAATTAGCTGTTTGGGCCCAGCTTCGTCATCTATTCCGATAACCAAGGACTAGCCTGTCTCTTGGGTCACAGTAAGCCCGTTCCAGTGATGTCAGCTGCCCGCATACAACGCTGGGCTTTATTGCTCATGGTGTACGATTAACGATGGAAGTACGGCAAAGGAAATGCTGACGCACTTTCATGGTTGTCGCTGACCAATGCAAAAGACATCGCTGATTACGTACAAATATTTTCAGTTGTTGATGAAATGTCATCTGCCGTCAAGATCCAGAAATACACACTCACTGACAGTGTGCTGTCAAAAGTGCTGATGTATACGATGCACGGTTGGCCCGCGCATGTAACGGAACGCGAGTCGACGACGTACTTCGTTAGGCGACACGAATTGTCGGTAGACTAGCAGTGTGTCACGTGGGGGAGTCCGGTTATGATTCCTCATAGCTCGCGTAAACAAGGGCAGCATCTATTCCCTGAATGGCACCCTGGCATAATGCGCATGCAAATGCGAGCCCGTAGCTATGCCTGGGGGCCTCAGGCTATCACAATAGATTAAACATATTTCAGAAGTTGCAACTCTTGCGAGTTGACGCAAAATGCTACACCCAGTGTACCACTACAGATGTGGGGTTTAATGACTCGCAGATGGCACCGAATTCACCTAAATATTGCCTTCACGGACCACCAGTGGTTTTTGGTGCTTGTTGGTGCACACTGCAATGGGTGGAGGTGATTGTGATGACGTGAACAACAGCGGACAAGACCATCGAAAAGCTTCTGTGTGTCTCCGCGTCTTCTGGGCTTCAAAAAGAAGTGGTTGCAGACCACCGGACCAGTTTACAGCAAAGACCCTCCCCAAAGGTTTACAGAACAACGGAGTGCGTCCTACCCGGGCGCCACCGTACCACCGTGCTTCGAATGGGAGCGCCGAGCAATCCTTGTGGAAAGTAAAACGAGGACTGCTGCGCCAGCTTCTGGACGAGAGAACAGAATGCACCAAGAAGGTCTTGAAGCGATATGGCGACCTGTTGCTCTTCAGTTGTTGGAACGCGCCAACCCCTGCCACGGTGCGGACATTTGCGGAACTGTACCTCTCGCGTGTACTTCTCGCGGAAGCCTCGCACACGTCTCAGCCTTCTGTAATCAAACATGGAGAGTCGCATGCGCTAGCGGTTGTCCAAAGCGGAAAGGAAAGCAAATGAACTAAGGGAGCCCTGAAGATCGTTGGAAGTTCTAGGCCACGTACTTGTACACTCTAAGAAAAAAAGGAGTAGTACTTCCTCCCTTAAGGGACGAACTGGCGTGTCCAATATGTTACCACCCTAAAGGAGGAAAATTCCTCCCACAGTGAAGGGAGGAATCTTGCTCCCCTCAGAAGGGAGAAAAATTCCCACCTCTATCTGAGGAATGGAGGGAATTTCCTCCCCCTTGAAAGGAGGAAAATTCCCACCTCTGTCCCAGGCACGGAGGAAATTTTCTCCCTCTTGAAAGGAGCAAAATTCCCACCTCTACGAAAGACATGGAGGAAAGTTCCTCTCCCTTGAAAGGAGGAATATTCCCACCTCTATAATAGACATGGAGAAACTTTTCTCCCCATTGAAAGGAGAAAAATTCCCACCTCTACCTTAGGCATGGAGGACATTTTCTCCCTCTTGAAAGGAGAAAAATTCCCACCTCTATCATAGACATGGAGAAAATTTCCTCTCCCTTGAGAGGAGGAATATTCCCACCTCTATCATATGCATAGAGGAAATTTCCTCCCCTTTGAAAGGTGGAAAATTCCCCCTTCTATGTTAGGCATGGAGGAAATTTCCTCCCCCCTGAAAGGAAGAAAATTCCCACCTACATCTCCCCACAAAAGGAGGAAATTTGCTGCCCATTTTTGTGAATGGAGAAAAACATAGTCCTTTCCAAAAAGAAGAAATGTAACACCCATTTTCTTCCGGGAAAAAATTTGCTCCCCCTTTTGAGGCAGAAATTCACCACAAAATTTTGCTAGAGGAGACAAGCATGGTCCACTTGCATAGGACGAAAATTGCCACCTAATCCCAATGCTGGAGAAATATTGCTCCAGCTACACAATAGAAAATGTCCAACAACTTTCACCTGCAAGAGAAAAACTGCTACTTCTATGGAGAGAATTTCCCACTAGTTTCTACCACTAAGTATTTCTTCCCTCTTTCAGAATACAGGATGGAGGTATCATGTGTTGCCACCATATATCATCCTAAATTAAACAAACAATGTTAGTTCAAGTGTGCACTGTGCCTCAGGCAGAGATTTTATTTTTTTTTCAAGGTTTCCTTCATTGCCGACAGTGCCGTCACGACCATTGTGGTTGGTTTGGTGGCCTGCAGCCCCAACAGGTGCTCTAGAAGAGCATAAAATCCTCTCGCTCCCGGTTGGTAGCAAATGCCGGCCACCCAGTGCAGGCAGAATGCGACCAGGATCGCATGCACTGGGTGGTCAGCCTTGATGAGTTGGTCCTCCACTTGGACCATACAGATCCCAACATCATCTGGATCTCCGTTCCAGATGACGGATGGGTACTTGGAGAACCACGGTGCCTGAAACCAGACAAGCAAACATCTGTTGGTCCCAAGACGTATCCATGTCGACCTGTTTGCATAGTTCAATTACAATTTCAATTGCTTGCCCACAGCTAGCCCTACCGCTTTTAAACAAGTCTCATATCATCTACCTCGACTACCAAGGTATGCTCAGCTCTATGTACAAAGGGTATACCGTTTGTCCCTTCTATACTGAGAAACTGAACCTTCCCAAGATCGTTGCTGGCAAACTGCAAAGTGCCATGCATTACGATACTGGGGTGTGTGACAACTGATTTCCCTACAGTCATAGAAATCCGTCTTTGGGGGGTTGGGTATAAAGAAAATTTAGAATTTAAATGACAAGCTGCAGCTGAACAATGTGGTATTGATGACTGCATAGCAAAGCAGCCATCCTATACACATGCATGGTATGCCTGTGAAGGGTCAGCTTGAACACGAAGACACAAACGGAGAAAGGACAGGACAGAACATACAGCTAAGCTGAATACAGACTACGCTTTAGTAAACTTCTTTGCATATTTGATGTATCATGCATTTTCTGAGTATCAGATTGAATGTTGGAATTGGAATTGTGCCACGTGGTCCACAAATCCACAGTAAAAAAAAAACAGGTAGCTGTTAGACTAGCATTGCACAAGTTTCCATTACCACGTCCTTGACGAATGAGGACGCCTGCTCCTTTACAGTCCTTGGCAGAGTCACCAAAAAGGCCAGGGAGGTCATCACTGCAATGAAAACAAAGCAGAAAAGAACTAATTATAAAAAAGAATGGAATGATGAATACTTAGTTATATTAAGTCAACGTGAGAAGTGCTCTCACAATGTTGATCCTCCTTGCTGCAGGTATCCACCCTTTCCAGAATGTCCCAGGTGGCCTTCTCCACCCTCTTTGCAGCCACGTCTAATACAGTGGCCATCTGTAGCTGCGCCACCGCAGTCACAGTCTGGAGTGGCGCGTCACCACCAAACCTTTCGAATTCCCGAAAGATCTGAAATACACAAAGCAAAGAGAATAGTGCCAAAAAAGCTGTGTAGAGAGGCAGGCACACATCCCTGTAGTCTCAGCTAGGTCAAAACGCTTCACATTAGTCATAGGTACATTATGAGGTGTGATCAAAAAATTCTGAGACTGATTTTCTAGCCTAAAAGGAGAGGGCAGCACAGTGACGTGCATGCAGCAGTCGAAGGCAGGAACCTTTCTGCGCCGTTATGACAAAGGGTGTCGCTCTGAACATTTGGAACTAAGCTGCACGAGTTTGTTTGACCACATGCACGAGCATGGCAATCTCTTCATAGACTGCAAACCAAAGCAAAGGCGGACATCAATTTTATGTCTAGCTTGGCACATCTAAGACAGAGACCTCTGAAAGCATTTGGCAGTGACTATTTCGACGTCCACTGTCCAAATCTCAAAAATCATTTCGGCGTCTGTGACGTCACTTTTGTAAAATGTCAAAATAGTGGCTCTATTATTTCAACATCCCCTTTCAATGCCACAGTCGTAGCAAGAGTTTTGTGGTTTCATTCTGTTTAGTTTCTGATGGCATCGTTGGTGTTGTGTTGGCGTTTTCACGGATAGATTCGGTCCTTGTTGGCAGTGGAAATGTCTTGATCAGCTTGTGAGTGTGTGGCACTGGCTCGACAGTTTACCCTTTCGGATGTGACACGCCCATTGTCACGTCTTCAGGAAGTGGCGTCACGGATGTCAAAGTAATATTAAAAAATTTGAAAGTGGATGTTGAAATAGTCACTGCCAAGTAATTTAGAAGGCTTATGTCAAAAAGCAGTGAGGTGCGCAACGTGTTTTGAGTGGCACTCGTGCCTCAAGAATGGCAGAATCTCACTGAAATCAAAGCGAGGTTGGATAAGGTCGCCCTACCACTAATCATCTTTCACCGATGCTCTGCCGTTCCCAAGGTGCAAGTGCCACTTAAAACACTTTGCAAATTCACCGCTTTTTTGACACAAGCCTGCTAAATCATTTGAAAGGTCTCCGTTTTATATTTGCCGAGTTTGACAAAGAATTGATGTTCGCCCTCGCTCTGGCTTGCAGTCTATGGTGAAATCGCCATTGTGACCAAGCACGTGGTCACAAAACCTCGTGAAGCGCAGCTCCAAATACTCACAGAGCGACGCCCATTAGTGTAACGAGACACGAAGGTCCCCGCCTTCGACTGCTGCATGTGCATTACTGTGCTGCCGTCTCTTCTTACGCTACAAATTCAGTCTTGGAACTTTTTGATCACACCTCATGCAAACAATAATTTGCACATAATGCCGGTCGGTGCCAGCTGAGTCCTGCAATAGCTCACGCTCATGCAAAAAGAATGCCGAAAGAAATCTACAACAGAAATGTTGCAGCTGATTGGCTGATGACAATACATGAGTGCAGAGGGTACCATTACGATGAAAGCACATTGGTTCATCACCACCACAAAAAAGTGAAGATGCAGTTATTATGAGGGAAGCAAATGATGATCGTTTTCTGGGACTGCTCTGGTGTGCTCCTGATAGATTGTGTCCATAAGGGCCAAACAGTCACCAGGACCTCCTGACAAGGTTACAGGAAATCATTATCACAGTAAAGAGCAGACCAAAAGAGTGTGTTTGCTCCAAGGCAATACCTCAAATAATTCAGTGCAGAAGGCCGACACATGACACTGATTTTGGCAATTAAATTCTGCCTCAGCCTTCATATTCACGTGACCTGGCACCCAGTGCCTTTCATATCTCTTTAAGCGTTCACTGCGTGACAGGCATTTACAAGACGGTGACAAGATGCTCGTCGAGCTGACAGAGTTGATCTTCAACACCAAAAACAATATAAAAGGAAACAAAGCCAGCTGCAGAAATGGGTCAAGACACAAATAGAATTTGTTTTTAACCACACGGTTGAAGATATTTATCAAAACAAAAAATATGAATCTGAATCAAAATGCCTGCACTGACCTGTGTTATTGTGACGTGACATGTTTCTCAAAGATGTTGGCAGGAATGAATCAGAACGATGTGGATAATAGTCGAAGTCAAATGGGTTGTTTTTCTACTCCTCGTGCAATGCTCCCCGAGACCTCGAATGCTTCTTTTTTTAAACTTATGTTCGATAATTTCTACTTTGAGTGCAATCCTAGCAGTCAGTTTTGTTCCATTCACTTCACAACACTGTAACAGTCATTGAACAAAAAGATTTCCGGCTTCTGACCCCCCGACACCCCTCACGAACATGTCATGTCACACTGCACAGCGTGGGCACCTTGGATTCGATTAGATTGTGTGGTGAGACAATTTTTGGATCTGGCATAAAAAAAAAATATTTTCTTTCAGCTGTGTGCGGGACGTCTTTTAAGTAGGGGTGTGTGAATACCGAATAGTAGTTATCGAATCGAATACCAAATCAAATTAAGAAAAAAAAAAGCCGAATTATGAATTGAATATCGAATACTGATTTTATTTGTAGGAATTTTTCAAAGTGTGCTGTGAATGGCATGATTATATGTGCAGAGTATGCGCCTGGTGCACAATATGCATCTCGTACAGAACAAAAGCTCAAATGTATAAAAATTCTGGTGAAAAAAAAGAAAAGCAGCTGTTGATGGACATTGGGCACTAAAGATCCAATCTTATGGCACAAACATAATCTCTCTACCCTAAGCGTCACAATAACCCAGTTACAGCCACGCGTACCTTCTTTTCTCGTTAAAAGCACGACCTAACACCGTGACATGTCCCTTTTTCTATATTTTTATATTTCAGAAAAGGAACATATTGCGATATTTGGTCTCTATTTTAAGGGAGAAAAAGGGCACCCGGGATTTTATTTTATATAGTAAACAAATAGCTGTTAAATCTGAATAAACAGGCTTAAACAATATAATCTGAAATAAGAAAAAACAAACCTGGTTAGGTGGCGTAAGTCACCGTCTAACTGACTCTATGCATCCATTCCTCCGTCCATCTATCCTGTTTTAGAGATCCTAGATTTAAAAAAGGGAGCAAGCGAAACTGAAACCACGGAGACGGCCCCTCCGTAGATTGGTCGTAAGTGCGCAGTGCGCATGTGCTGTGTAGTCGCGTGGAAAGAAGGCGAGCAAACGAAAGAGTGACGACGCCTGCCCGATCGGCGCCTTTTGCCTTTTCGTCACCCTCTTGCAGTTCGTAATACAAATGCGGCTATCGAACGGTTGGAAACCCTCTCAAATCTAGGCACACTATTTTTCTGTTCCGTTTCGTTCCGAATCAGAATTTGTGGCTTGCGGTTCCGAAAGAATGACGACGACAACTCGCCTGTTTCATCGGCGCGGTTAACTGTGTGTGTGACAAGTATTTCACAACGGCGCTTCAATTTGAAACGAGGGGCTTTACTCGTGGAATGAATTAGGCATGGCGCAGAATTCCGGCCTCCAAACATTTCCTCTCTGGAAGCTGCGCTAACGGGATGTTTCGGTTGTGATTCAAGGTTATATTGCTTCACGATCATGAGTAAATCTGTGCGGTATAAAGTTTGTAGCGTTTGTTACTTCTCTTTTTTCTAACCTGTGCATTAGATTTTTGTGGAATTTTAGAACCAAGAGCTGTTACTCGCATGGTCTGCCGAACATCACGGCTCTAACATCGGGAGAAAACACAAATCTTTTGTCAGCTCTGCGCAAACCGCGCATCTTTGGTCGAATATATAGAATATTTGAGTGACCGAATACTAGAAATTCGATTCGCGAATCGAATTATTTGGGGACTTTCTATTCGATTCTAATTCATATATTCGAGTATTCACACACCCCTACTTTTAATAGTCAAAATGAGCACATCCACAACCAGCATATCTGCTAGATCATCAATCCGTGGGGATATGCACACCCTTGTGAGGTGGATACGCATAAGGAGAACTAACCTCCCCACCATCGCAGCTATCTTTGTTCATGGTAATAGTACAAGCTCTATGACCAATCCCCATACATGTCAGGGATTATGATGACACTGAAAGAAACGGCAAGCTGGAAAAGACCACTTACTTCTTCTGTTCTCTCCAGGGCGGGGTAGCGGCGAAGAATGTCCTGAACAGACGGGTGCTCTGCCGCAACCCACTGCCGCCGTGAAGCAAATGTGCGAGACATACTGTCTTCAATCCTCTCCATATCTGGGACGTCTTTTTGCAGCTCCCGTTTCATCGACTTTATGTGTCCCTCAATGCTGAAATCGTCCTCTCCAGCACCAAGCAGTAGCGCATCAGGCTGGTCCAGGAAGAATGAAAGGCATAAAATTATTAGACACCATGTTGCAGTAGTTCTTTGAATTAGGCTCAGAAGTTAAGATACTCGTGCACCTTTGCTAATATTTGACCACCACCTCCCACATCTTGACCTCGACTCTTTGACTTCGATATCCTAGATCATCGCTCCTAGAAATCATTGAAAGCTCTCGTGGTTCTTTCGTAGAGATGAACTCTAGGCTGCGCTTCTTAACTGTTCAGTTGTTCTGGCAATTTCTTTTTTTCCTTAAAACGTCTTGTTGGTAGTTGAGTTGGTAGCTTTTTGTTTTGTGCTTCGTCCCGTAACAAGGCTTCGGGGAAAAGCCAGGGGAACTGACAAGGGGATAAGGTTAAAGTGGGTTTTGAAAGCTGAGTGTTTTGAGGACGGGGAATTCACAGCGGGGATTTTGACACAGGTGTTTTGCGATTGGGTTATTTCATGCACTACTCGTGGTGAGCATGACATCGAGCTGTTCTGCCATGGGCAACACCAAAGGATGTCGGCTTTTCACAAGAGTCGTGCCAGCGTCCACTTTTGTTAGGCTGGCGAAGGTTTCTTTGGGAGAGCGGAAGAAAAATGATTGTGCCGCTGTGACACCGTCAGCAGGGCCAGTGGGAATGCTTCGTTACTAGACTGGACAAGTGCGTCGGGTAGGTCTATAGGGACCGTCTAATCCCCCCCCCCCCCCCCCCCCCCCCCCCCCGAGAAGGGCTTCATTCGAGCAGACAAGTTCTGTTCGTCTACTTCTCATCCATGGCGGACTCAAGTTACCTCACAAAATCACGATGATAACACCATTTCTTTTGTGGTGGTTTCCGTGGGACAACCTAAGAGTCCAACAGTTGTGTCTGCGTCGACCGTAATGGGTAGGCCTAGTAACCGTTGGGCCCTCCAGGAATAAGCTTCGTTGGCATCGGTGACTCTCCCTCATTCACAATTCGCAATTAACTTGCGAATTGTGAATGTAACAACATTTTTTGCGGTCTTTGTGCGGTGGCATGAATGATGCAGCCACCACTACCGATACCCTTCACTGCACAAGAAGTTGAGGTGACTCACTGCCATGCTGCCTCAGCAGATTCAAAGACTCCACCTGCAATTCTGTTGAGTTTAAAAATGAACTATTCCTACTAAAAATGCTGCCCTCTATATTTCTTAATCATCCATGAAATGTGGCATCTTTAGAAGTCTCATCATTGTGGTCCTTTGCACGCTACACCAAGTAATAATTGCCTCGTACCACACGTGAATAGGTTGAGGGACAAAAATTATAATCATGTCCTGGTGTTTCCTTCAACGAAACGAGCTAGCAAATATTCCTGCCGTTTTCTCCATATCTTGCGAAGTGTATGCAAGAATTAAAAAAATAAAAGGTGCGAACAAAACAAGACGAAAAAAGACATGTACGACACGGACAGGCGCCTTTTACATATTGGTCTTTTTTGTCCTGTTTTGTTCGCGCCTTTTAGCCTTTTAATCGATATGAACCAACTAGCCTGAACCAAAGTTTTAGTGGACACAAGACACTTTCGCCACCTTGGGAAGATGTCGTTTCACTCATTCGGCGACCAGCTTCCATTCCCTCTGCTAGCTACCATAGGCGCGTGGGACTCATCTCCTATGTGTACTTGGGACGGCTAGCAAAAGATAGGCTTACGATCGATGCTTCTGTTCCCATGGAAATGAAGGCCGCAGTGCAGCAGGAGCCGTTGTATGAAGCGGATTGTAGTATTCCGAGTTTAGTTGTTGTACGGGCACGAATTCTGAACGAGAGAAGCGCGTGCCCCACTCGCAGTGGCGCGTGCTCAGGTCATGCATGCAACTACCGCTTTGGAACAGTTCACCCTGGGATTAAGAATGAACAAGTCGACAGTCACCGGTTTCCTTCCTCGCCCTCGGCGGGGCCCGCGAGGACGCGGGCCCCCGCCGTTACCGGGTCGCCTTAGCGGATGACCCGACGTCAACTCCCCGGCCACGACGACGCCTGCAGCAGCGGCTGCAGCCCATTTCCCGACATTGACGAGGCAAGACATCGCCACCACTGGCATTGAAGGCCATCCACGCGCCACTGCGAGTGTGGCACGCGCTTCTCTCGTTCAGAATTCCTGCCCGTACAACAACTAAACTCGGAATACTACATTCTCCCTTTCTTAATATTTTTTTTTAAACATGATGGAAGGATAAATAGCCAAACAGAGAATACTGCACGGATGCATGTTAAGTAATGCAAAGCAGACGACTTTTCACATCTGCGCAACACATGTCTGTGTGGTAGGCCACATGATCCCTTGTATCCCACGTTGGTATGAATGTTACTAATGTTGAGGATACATGACGTTGCCCACTTTTGTCGAAGTTTCGGTTTACAAACAGGTTATAGCAAAAACAGATGAAAAAATATTTTACTTTTCGTGAAATAAACATCGTAAGGAGACTTGTGGGTTCTTCCTAAATAAAGATCATGCACTATTTTCAAAATTTTAGATAATAGCTGTGGAGTTACTTTTGAAAACCTGTAAACCATTTTTGCGCTACTCACTTATCTGTTTTGAAGCTAATCTTTAACATTACAGTGACATGCTGAAAGATCCGAAAACCAGTTTTGAATATAAAAATTAAAGAAATGAAGATGTCTGAGTTTTTGAGAGTTCAACAAAGAATATGGATTGAATTACACAGAAAAGAGAGAAAATGTTGAGGAAGCATTTTTTCTCTCTCATGCACCTCATTCCTTCCTCTCCGTTCAACTCGAGGAGGCACAGCCTCTAAAAAATGGGTGTTGAGGTGTGATGTGAATGGGGCTAGGAAAAAACACATTTCTGTATTGCCCGTTTTGTTCAGAGCCTATGTGTACTTGCTTTTACTGTGAAAAGTTATTGCTATGCTCTTTGCATTGTCTGCTTCTTGGCTGGGAAATTTTTATTATTCACACACACACATCAGGATATTTTTTGTTTTTGGTTGCACATTAGGGGCATCCAAAAAGTGACTTTTGAAACCGAATTGAATACAAATCGAATTATTTTCCAATGATGGTAACCACAGGAGTGACGGCACTTGTTGTAAGAGCCACTCCAAAGGCCGCTGGAACAGCTTCCTGGCTCATTCACCCCGCGGCTTCTCTTCACAGTTTTTCGCATGATTCATGGTCGCACATCGTTTGATTGAGTGACGAGATCATGCCGGAGCACTAACTACGTTTATTTTGTATTGACACGGATGATCCGGGTAGTTTAGGTTTTCGGTGCTCGTTTATGGCCATTCTTCACTCAGGAGCAACCAACAACTGCACTGTTGGATGCAAGTTCAACCCATCGGAGCGGGTGATGCTCCAATGAAGTCTGCAGTGGCGTGGGATATTAAACTGTGACAGCAAACAAAAAGGCTTCCATTGGCCAAAGTCTGGATAGGTGGGGTTGCCTTCCGGAGTTGGAGGTCAGGCTTGCAACGTACATCGCAAAAGTGTGCAATCGGTCCCTATCCAGGATGTCCACACGATCACCGAGCAAGCGCGGCAGATGCGGTTGATCCTGTCATTTGCGAAGTGCAAGATTTGGTTGGACGACGCCGACGACGTGCTTCGAGAAAGTGGCAGTGATGAAGACGAGACTGACAGCACCAGTGCGGACGAGTCGTAGTCTAGTCCCGGACGGAGTGAGAATGACAGAGAGCAGCTTGAGTTGTCCCGCCTGCAGTGTGAACTTTATAGTTTCGATAACGCCTGGGCATCTCATGCACCTCGCGCGTGCATGCACAGCCAAAGCACGCTAGAAGGCATCGATCGCGTGCTGGAGGCTCGGCTTTCGAAACAGATACTTTGCCGTTCTCACGTGTTTGCAGTAAAATGCGCATCTACATATTTTTATTTTTTTTTATTTTTCGCTGTTGTGCAATGTGGGGAGGGTCGACTTATAATCGAGTCGACTTACAATCATGTAAATACAGTAAGGGTGAAAAGACTGCCAAAATGCTTTTGCCTGAGTATCCAGGTTCAAGAAAACACACCCATCTCTTCTCTTTTGGAATGCTCAGATAGGAGTGAAAAGGTCCATTCACCTGGCGGCAGACTCGCTTGGCAGATTCATTGCCATTTGCAGCCTCTTGGTTTCTTGGCTGCTTGCCAAACTTCTGCCTTTTGAGAGCAACCTCTCCGTCATCCGCAAACTTTGTGCGTTCATACTTGCACTTAAATTTTAGTGTATTGTGCCAGAAGTCCTGCATATTTTGGAACATAAAGAAATGTCGTTTGAAGTCAAGAGCAAAATAGTTTTACAAAGATATTGCTTTCCCAATCCAACTTTTGTACATGACTTGTGCAAGTTTCCCTGAGCAGGTTTCAATTTTTCCAAACCAAAAAAAAAAAAAAAACGCTCATCGGTAAATATGTCTCTTCTCGTAGAGACCAGGTAAACCAAGAAAGCATGAGTACAAGGTACTTTAGACTTATGCAGATGCCAATGCACTTGTCACACAGCTGTTGAAGGAATGTTTGGGATAACCTATATTAAAATAGTGTTAACTACCAAAAGAAAGACAAAGCACGCCATTGATAAAGAGCTTGTGAGGAAAAGCGACAGCCATATTTGTGGCTGTGTATAAACTGACAGTCTAGTCTGAGCAGGAATGTCGCAAATTGCACTGTGCAATTCGTTCCAAGCAAGCACGTAGCCAGGGGGTGGTTCATGGGGCCTGCCCCCCCCCCCCCCCCCCCCGAAATCTTCCACTGTGCTGGGGCCTCCTCTCCCCCCTCTCCCTCCCCCTCATACAGCATTTTGCTGGGGCCTCCTCCTCCTTCTCCCTCCCCTACACCCCGCCCCGCCCGCCCCCGCCCCGCCCCGAACCAAAATCCTGGCTACGTGCCTGGTTCCAAGCACTGACAGACCGTACCGTGTAGCGGCAGCAGTTTAGATAAATTTAGCGCAAATGATCACACCACTGCCAGTGAGTTAGGCATATCCAGAAAGCACAAACTTACAATACCCTCCTTCGATAAGAGAGCCTATCGACAATTTTAGACTAAATAAATGTCGTCAAAAGCAAATTCCACTTTTCAAGACTGGCCACTTTACTCCACCACTGTGGTGACACGTTAGGTAACCCCCTTTCTGGAGCGTAGCTTCATTACCCACGAAGCGTTACGTCCTTGTTGCATATCAGTGAGGCACGGGAAAGGCACTGCTGGTAGCCCCGATTATTTAGTCAATTGAAAAAATGTCCCTAAAATTACTCGAGGAATGACTAATGAGTCGTTTATGAACATGCACTTTCCCACTTGCCCCCAGAAAATCTCTTGCTCATGGAAGTGACCTGCCACTCCACTCATAGAAATGACCTGCCACTATCGACAGGTTTTTTTGTTGTTTTTTTGTGTGTGTGTAAACAGTGAAGCACTTAAAGCATGCATGCTATTTGGGCAACTTTTCTCGATGCAACCTTGTCAGCTACTAACAAGCTTTTCGAACAAAAAATATTTTTCAGTTAGCTGCCAAATATAAACGCAATAAAAAGTGCTGAAATGAAACATACATGTCCCGTTCCGATTGTATCCTCCAGGATGCGGTGGCGTGCCACGAGCTGTCGGGCTGCCAGCTCATAGAGCTTGTCAGGATACCTAAAACCATAAACACAGGACATGAAAGTGTGTATAAATTAACTACATACTATGATGGGATCATATTGTAAGAAATGAAGTGACAGGAAAGGCAGCACACAGCAGTTTTTTGTTGGCTCTGTGTCATATCATGTGAAAAGATGAAATGCAAACGTTGTAAAACACATTCACCAGAAGGTTTAGAAGAAATATGAATTTTTATTATAGAGAAGCCTACCTGTGTCATCTAAATAGACAAAAAAGGTGGAGGTCATTGCGTAAGACTTATGCAGTGTCCCGAAATACAGTTGTCTCCACAATTCAAAATTTGCAAGAAATACTTGAAACTAAAAGGAGAGTGAACTGATTTTCCTATATAAATTGAGCCTGCTTTCCACCTTGACTTCAAAGGCGAATAAGCGATCATGTGGTTGTGACAAACAACCCTCCTGGAATTGGAAGTACTCAGTGGTCAGCCTTTGACAATTCGCCTAAGACCCACAATGACAATGATTTAAATAATGAGAAAGAAGGCAATCCCCCATTTGCGTTAGAATTCAACAGTCTCCATAATGGCATTGATTGGCTTCCCCAGCGGCACAAGACTCCTGTCCAACTTTAAGAGCTGGATTCGACTGACGTGCAATGGACCTTTTTCGAGTACCGAGCGCCGTCTGGGGAGTTGTCTGCGAACTACAAATGAAGAGCAGCCCAACATGCTTCCGCCCGTCAAAACACGTTGGCATCGTGCTGTTGTATCGTTTTTCAGTGTTCTACCCCATGCTACCAATACTAAAAAACAAAGCGTCAAAATAGACTAAATACGCGCGAAGATGGATGTTGCTGTCGCCATTTTTGGAGGGCACCGTCCCGATGCCCTCTGAAAATGGCGACGGCGGGAATGTGCGCATGCGCGGAAGCTTACTGGAAAAAGGTCCATTCTACCTCAAAAGCATCAAGGCAAAAGGAAGTAAGCTTTGCAAAGAAGCGCAATAGTCTGCTTCTATTTTCAACAAAGAATGTGTTTGTCTCAGTAATGATTTGAAATCGAGTGTCCGACCATTGCGCCCCTTTCATTCCACCTTCCCTTCCCACCTGTGTTCGCCCCCAATTCGGGGATAAAATAAATTTCTGCCCAAACAGGAGTCAAACCTACCTCACAGTCCGCAGCCCAATGCTATAAAAAGGGCCCCTGACATTCAAAATATATCTCTTTTCTTCTGGAAAATCAGCTAAACTTTTTGGTACAGATCCAAGAAGCGTCATACTCCGCTCGAGGAGGAGGGGGAGACAAGGGAGAGGGAAATTAGAGAGGAGGAAAGAAAGAGGGAGAGAAGGATTAGAGCGAGAGGTGGGCGGTTGGCACTTCTAAAGACTGGCACTTCTAAAAGACTCGCAAAACCCCAACGTCCTTTTTGAGCTATCACAAGGGGCACATAGCCATCCAGCTGCCCGAAATACTGGATGCTTTGCCTGCACAGAACCAGCTAGAAGAATCCAAGCCTCTGCAGTTGAATTTCGACGTCATCACAGTCAGATGAAGCGCAGACACAGATTGTACCCAAGTGCTGTGTCAGCATTCGGCTGGCAGCCATGTCCAGTCAATGCATCAAAGGACGTTCAGAGTTGGGATCGGGGCAAATTATTGAGCCATCCGAGTTTGATGACTTTTTGTGGAGAGAGAGGAAGCCGTTCGGAAGCTTTGACTGTTCCAGGTGGTGTTGGTCCGCACCCAAAGAGCCAGAAGGAATGGAAACCTTATGGTACAGGTTATCACACTATGGTATTTAACCACAGAATGCATAAGCAACATATCAGTATCATTATAGGCAAATTCGCGACTCCAGCAAAACGGACGCCACCAAGCGGGAAAACCGGGAACCAGCCGGTCCAGGTCGCTCCGCGCCCCTCCGCGTCTCTGCAGTAGGGTGCCTCCATGAAGGCTCCCTACTCTGCAGTGGCGGCAAGCAGCAGCCCCCCCCCCCCCCCCCCCCCCCCCGGGCCTGCTGCTTGCCGTCCGGCCCGTTCCACTTTGGCCTCGCGGCGACTCGGCCCGCTGCGCCAAAAGGTTGCCGACCACTGTATTAGAGGAACAGGGGCATACTCACAGAGTGTACCTGAAAAGATCGAAACACATCCATTCCACAATGCGGCGGCGGAGATCTAACGGCACTCTGGCCTTCTGCGTGACCTGTGAAAGGTTGTGTGCTATGTCTTTGGGGGTCGGCGGAAACACATATTTCTTCGGATCCAGTGTTGGGCTAGGGCCCTCCTGGATCATAGGCACTTCAATTCTGAAAATGTGAGCAAAGTTATTATATGAATGACACACACCTATAAAAACAGGTGCATAAGCTTTAGAACTCCCAGTCCCGCAATATTGAAAACGCTTATGGCGAATTCGGGAGGTCAATCGTCGGCAACTTATTTTGCCCGAAAACCGGCAATAGTGTTTGCGTGGTCAGTTTCCGGCTGGCGCGCACTGTTCGGGTGGTGGTTCTCCGGCAAGCACCGGCAACTTTCCGGAGCTTTTTCCACCCGAGCTCCGAACGTCTGCGCGAGCAGGCGCCAGACTGCATCCGGTGTCGTCCCTTCCGAAATCGGAGAGAAGGTCTGTGAGAAAAAAATGAATAGGAGAAGGTAACTGATCTGAAGTCACTTTAGCAGCCGCTACACGAGTCAATCCAAGTCGTTAGGACATGGGTGACAGTGGCGACGGGCTCTCGCTGGCGGTGTTGCACGGGCAAGAGGTGAAGTAAACTGCCACCATCTCGCATTTCGTGTTCGGTTGCTAAGTGTCACGTGGTATGCTGCCGGCGCGTTTCTGGCTGCCGGTTCAGCCGGCTCGTTCTCGCCGGCGATTGGCCACCCGAATTCGCCATTATAAAAACAACTGCATGAGCTGTAGAACTAACACTCCTACAACACCTTATTGCTAGGTTTCCATGCTTTCGGATAAATCCAAAAAAAGCTGAAAAACACTCCTCAGTAAAATTTTTGAAGGGTCAGGACATGCCAAAAATTAAATATGAGGCAACTATACTGCTAGAATCCATTGTATGTTCCTATAATCCTGGTAAATATTTCAATTACAATGGCGCAATAGTTTTGTGGATAAATTGATATATTTACGGGACCCTCGGATCCTCCCCATTCAGAATGTGTGCGACGTCATTAGCCAACTGCACAGCGTCTCCTTGCACGCGCTTACAGACTTGGCTCTTTCAGCGTCTCAAGATTCAGCTTCCTCGTTTACCTTCCGCATTTCAAGCATGCAAGCATGCATGTAGATTATTATGTCTACGGCATCGCTCGCTTTATTTAAGTCTTTGACACTGATCGCAGCAATGAGATGTTGGAAGCTGTTCATTTTGACTGCGACCCACTGGCGACCAGCTCCAGTGACGGTAGTCACGAACAAACTCGCCGAGGTCGCCGTCGTCTGGGACAATCTTGCAGGTGCACGCAGGAGAGAAGGTAAAAAAGCCGAAGGTGAGAGCAAAAATAGTGTTGGTGTTGCCAAGTTCTGCGAGTGGTTCTGATCA